CTCCTGAGTCCTCTCTTCCTGCGCTTGCCGACCCTGAGTCGGACTCTCTTCGCGCTGCGAGTCCTACTGTCACGCGTCTACTTGCTACTGTCGTTACTGACCCCTCTTTTGAGTCCACTGCTGCGTCTGCTCTAGTCGCTGAGCTCGTCGACTTTGCTGCTCGCTGTCGTCTCGACTACGCTGCTAGTCTTGTTGCTGAGTCTGCGTCTGTCTGTCCTCCGTCCGTCGGGGGTGAGTGTGCTCTTGGCACGGACGTCCTAGAGGACAGGCAGGAGGAGTTACAGTGTCTAGCGGCTGCTTCACCTCATCTCGCGTCTGTACTGCTTGCCCCTGAGGGAGACCCGGATGCACTAGACATCCCGACTCCGCGTTCTTACGCGGAGGCCGTAGAGGGCCCCTACTCCTCTCAGTGGCAGGCAGCCATGGATGCAGAGATGGCTTCCTGGAAGTCCACAGGCACCTACGTTGACGCGGTTCCCCCTCCTGGGGCGAACATCGTCAGTGGCATGTGGATCTTCAGGGTGAAGCGGCCGCCGGGCTCTCCACCTGTCTTCAAGGCACGGTACGTTGCTCGTGGCTTCAGTCAGCGGCAGGGAGCTGACTACTTTCAGACCTTCTCTCCCACCCCGAAGATGACTACTCTTCGGGTGCTGCTGCACATAGCCGCTCAGCGCGACTACGAGCTTCACTCTCTCGACTTCAGCACTGCGTTCTTGCAGGGTAGCCTGCACGAGGAGATCTGGCTTCGCCGTCCACCTGGCTTCACTGGGACTTTCCCTCCTGGCACCCAGTGGAGCCTCAGACGACCAGTCTACGGTCTCCGCCAGGCACCGCGTGAGTGGCACGACACACTGAGGACTACGCTTGCGGCTCTTGGGTTTGCTCCTTCTACTGCTGACCCGTCGCTGTTTCTTCGCACCGACACTTCCCTGCCGCCGTTCTACATCCTCGTGTACGTCAACGACCTGGTCTTTGCCACAGCGGACACTACTGGACTCGCCTACGTGAAGTCCGAGCTGCTGAAGAGACACACGTGCACAGACCTGGGTGAACTGCGCAGCTACCTTGGCTTGCAGATTACTCGGGAGAGAGCACGCCGCACCATTACCTTGACTCAGTCACACATGGTGCAGCAGGTCCTTCAGCGCTTCGGCTTCATGTACTCCTCGCCTCAGGCCACTCCTCTGCCTACTCGCCACTCACTCTCAGCTCTGCCTTCGGATGAGTCCGTAGAGTCGAGTGGTCCGTATGCAGAGCTTGTTGGCTGCCTCATGTACCTGATGACCTGCACACGACCTGACCTTGCATACCCTCTGAGCATTCTTGAACGCTATGTTGCCCCTGGGAGACACAGACCGGAGCACATGGCTGCAGCGAAGAGGGTATTGCGCTACTTGTGCAGTACGTCAGGCATGGGGCTAGTGCTTGGAGGGCGGAGTCCAGTGGTCCTTACCGGCCACGCGGACGCTTCTTGGGCTGACGACCAGGCTACGCAGCGGTCGTCACAGGGTTACACCTTCAGCCTTGGTTCCGGCTCTGTCTCGTGGCGGTCTACTCGCTCGTCTTCGGTTCTCGGCTCCAGTTGTGAGGCTGAGATCTACGCCGGAGCCATGGCTGCACTGGAGCTTCGCTGGCTCACCTACCTGCTGACTGACCTTGGAGAGCCGCCTCGTTCTCCTCCAGTGCTGTACGTAGACAACAAGGCCATGCTGGCCTTGTGTCGAGAGCAGCGCTTGGAGCACAGAACGAAGCACATTGCTCTCCGCTACTTCCTTGCTCGTGAGTTGCAGCAGCGTGGTCAGTTGAGACTTGCGTACGTGGCCTCTAAGGCCAACACTGCTGATGTGTTCACCAAGGCACTTGCGCCTTGTGACCATCAGCGCTTCTGCACCCAGCTGGGTCTTGTGCCTGTCTTGCCTCACTTGCTCTCCTCTTGACTTTACTTGTACTGTGACATATATATATACCTGCTCTTGCTTGTCTAGTTTTATATATATATGTCTGTACTCTTGCTTGTGAACTGGCCTTTGGCCTTGCTCTTGTGCTCGGACTGTGTGGTGACTTTGTGATCCACCCTGAGCTTTGCTTTGTCTTGCTTGACTGGTCTTGTGACCCCTTGTTCTCCCCCACTTTGCCTATGGGGGTGTGTCAGAACATATCCATAGCTTATACTGCTGTGTAGGCTGTAGTGGGGTATCCCATAGGGGGTACAACCCAGTTAGGGTTTCATATTTGTACTGCTTTCATTCATAGTCCCACTCATTCCTGCTTACTCATTACCACATAGCAACCTAGCAATCAAGCTGGTCGACCTGTCAGAATGTTATCTTATGCTCTAGCCTGTAGTGGGGTGCTCTATAGCGAGCACAACCCTTCTAGGGTTTGCTATTTGTATCCTCATTCTTGCTAGTGCAGTCCTCTTCTCTCTTCTTACTTTCACATGCTATCAGAGCAGGTCGATCCCCTTGGATCGATCCTGTGGGTGGGCTTACCACCTCCTTGCTTCCGCTGCAACTACTACCACTACTCTCTGAGCCGCACGCCCCGTGGCGTGCGGCAGTTTTTCTTCCCGCCGTGCGCCCCGAGGCGCGCGGCGGTTTTCTGCTCGCCGTGCGCCCCGAGGCGCGCGGCGGTTCTCTGCCCGCTGTGCGCCCCGAGGCGCACGGCGGGCTTCTGCCCCGTCGTTCGGCGCGTCGCCCTCTGGAGGCGCCGCGACGGGCGACGGGGACCCGCGCATCGCCCCCCGTCGCCCGTCGTGGCCTGCGCGCGGCCCGTACGGGTTGCGCCAGGCCCACGCGCGGCCCGTACGGGCTGCGCCAGGCCCGTGCGCGGCCCGTACGGGCTGCGCCAGGCCCGCGCGCGACCCGTACGGGCGGCGCCAGGCCCGCGCGCGGCTCGTACGGACGGAGCCAGGCCCGCGCGCGGCTCAGGCCGCCTGCGCGCGGCTCGGGCGTCTGTACCAGTCCCGTGGTGGGCCCGTTCCTCGCTGCCCCTGCCCTCCCCGCTGTCCCCAAGTGCTTCTACTGGCGCCCCACCCCTCCTACTCCCCATTCTCCTGAATTAGGGTTTGGGGGTGAGGGGTATGGGGGTGACTTCACTCTGTACCGTTCCCTGCTCCTCCTCCTCCTCCGTCTCCTTGTGCTGCAGCTACCGCTGAGGGGGGGTGGACGTGTTGGAGCCGGTGGAGTGGCACTAAGGGGGGGTGAAGGGGGAGTGGAGCTAGCGGTGTAGCAGCGGGTGTGTGCCAGGGGGAGTGGGATAGTTTTGGGGAAGCTGAATGGAGGTTGCCGTCGTGTCGCCAGCAGCACCTGTAGTCCGGGGAGTTGCTCCGGTAGCCCAGTCGTAGCCAGCTGTGCCAGCCGCCCGTGGGTCCGTTGCTCGTCTGCCGCTGCTTTAGCCGCGGGGCCAGTTACTCCAGTATTCCGGAGCGTTGTTCCGGTAGCTGCTGTGCCAGTGTGCCTCCTGTTGCCCGTGTGTCTGCAGCTTCAGCCGTCGCCTCCTATCTCCTCTCCTCTCACTCTCTCTCCTCCTCCTCACTTGCCCGTTGTGACTACCACTAGCTTTGCTCATAATTGTGAACTTTAAACTATTGCTTCTTGAACTTGTGCTCAGAATGTGTGGTGACATTGTGATCCACCCTGAGCTTGTACTGCTTTGCTTGCTCTGCTGATTACACCCCACTTTGGCTATGGGGGTGTGTCAGAATGTTATCTTATGCTCTAGCCTGTAGTGGGGTGCTCTATAGCGAGCACAACCCTTCTAGGGTTTGCTATTTGTATCCTCATTCTTGCTAGTGCAGTCCTCTTCTCTCTTCTAACTTTCACACGACCACCAGCGCAGCATGGTCGACAGTCCGCTAGCATTGCGTAGAGACACCGCGCCAGTGCTGCAGAAGAGCGGCCTGCCAACGAAACAAGTCCACAGCTTGCCAACGCCCCACCAACCACGTTCTCTACCGTCGCGCACATGACAAGTCGGCCACGTGGCAACAGTTGCGCTAGGAGCTCCACGTCGACCTCGGGTTACCAGCTCGAGGTCGCCTTTGCCATCGCAGCCTCGTCGAAGAGGTTACCTGGTCGACCGGGTCAACCATCCAGCGACCTGGTCGGCAACCTCCCTCATCGACCACTGCGTCCGTTGAACACCGCGCTGGTCGACAGACTCCTCTATCGACCAACTCAGTCGGTCTCTGCCGTAGAACTCCCACCTTCGACGGCTGCGCACAAGTCCCGCGTGGGTCGACGAACTGCTTCGTCGACCTCCCTTGTCGAACTAGGCCGCCGGCTTCCCTTCGTCGGCGGCATCACAACGGTTCCCTGCTGGTCGACTTACTCCGTCGACCAGCACGCATCGAGCCCTTCAGATGGTTGGCCGCACGCGCACCTTTCGCGCACTCGACCACTACATCGGTTTTGGCCAAACGAGGGCGTGACCAGCACTCCATTCCCGTCAATATATACATGGCACAAACAACCCAATCACAAACATCGGGGCACAATCCTTTGATCGTCTTGAAAATTGGGGTATCAGAATCTCTTACCCTGATCCGTTATCCAACTCAAGCAAATGTTCACTTGATATAGGAATGCTGATTTTCAACTTTCATTCTTATCAGGATGAAGAGGTAATACCTTCTTAACGCAGAATCCCATAGCGAGTGCACCCAACATCCAACGCTGCCAAGCATAACGGCCCAAAAACCCCTGATCTGCTTTGAGAGTTCTCCGCGCGTTATGCACTCCCTCCAGCTATCTCACCATTATAATCCACCCCTATCGTTCCTCAAGCGGCTCGCGAAACGCATTCGCGGCTTCCCTCATCCTCTCCGCATTCCGCGCTAAATCGCCAGTTTATCGCGCAACGGTGTAGTGGTAACCCGCATATCTTTTTCTTCCGCCAGTGCCGCCACCAATCGGCCTTCCGCCGCCAGCGCAAGCCGCCATGGAGGCGATCGTGACGCCGCCTCTGCGAGCCGCTGCGCCGAGAGCGTCGCTGCGCCAATGGCTTGGCGGTCGGCCGAGGCTGCGTGCGGCTGTCCGGTGCGGCAGTGCATCCTCAGCGTGTCCGCTCGTCAGGTTCGTCCCTCGTCCCCTCGCGCTCTCGCTCTCTCGCCTACTCGTCCACTCGCCCACTCTCCCGCTCCCTCATTCTCTCCCACTCTAATCTGCTCCTCTCGTGTATCGCGTCTCGCCACCCGCTCGCCTCTCAGCGCCGATCGAAGCGCCCACTCATCCCTTCCCCTTCCCCCCGCGTTCTCGCGTTGCAGGAGATTGCCACGTGCCGGATCCCCATTGCTGCGTGCGCCCTCTTCACAACGCGGCGGCGGCAGCAGCAGAAGCAGCAGGCGGCAGGCAGGAAAGGCGCGAGCGAGGGGGGAGGCGGAGGGGAGGGGGAGATACGAGCGGGCGGGGTATGCGAGCTACGGGGAGTGGGACCCGCGCGCGGGGACAGGCACGGAGGGGGAGGCGGAAGATGGGGAGGGAGAAGGGGAGGGCGAGATGAGCGCGGGAATGGGGGCGGGGGAGGTCGATGACAGGGGTTGGCGGACGGCGGAGGAGGTTCGGCGGGAGGTGGAGGCGCGGAGGCGCGCGGAGGCGGAGGCGGAGGCAGTGCGCGCAGCAGTGGAGGAGTATAGAGACGCGGAGGAGTTCCTTATAACGGATATAAAAGAATCCGCGAATCCAAACTACCTCGCGTCGCACCAGTCGTACCCCTCCCCCTTCATCTACATCCGCCCCGTCTGCTCGCGCCCCAACGAGGGCGAGCGCTTCCCCCGCGCGCGCAACCTGCTCGTGGGCGAGGCGAACGCGCTGGAGCGCGTGCGCGCACACATGGCGCGCGCGGAGGGGCGCGAGTACGTGCCTGCGGGCATGAGGGGTGGCGGAGAGGGAAGCGGGGGCGAGGACGAGGAGGATGAGTGGGGGAAGGGGGACGAAACGGAGGAGGAGCAAGAGGGAGAGGAGGGAGAGGAGGGAGAGGAGGGAGAGGACGAGGACGCGGGGGAGGGGGGGTTGGCGCGCAGCGGGGGGGGCGGGCGGTTTTGGGAGGAGGAGGAGGACGAGGCGTGGGAGGCGGAGAGCGCGGCGCTGAGGGGGCTGAGCGGGTGGGCGCGCATGCGAGCGGCGTGGGCGTTGGAGGACCGCGAGAGAGAGGCTGCTGCTGCTGCAGGGGGGAAGCAGCTGGGCGCTGACGGGCAGGGGTTGGCGCAGGAGAAGGGGGCTGCGGGGGGGGTGGGCGCGTGGGCGCGGGGGGAGGCGTTTGTGGGGGAGGTGGGGCCTCTGGAGGTGGTGGGGGAGGAGGAGGTGTGGTGGAACTGGCAGAAGAACGAAGGCGAGCAGCAGATCTGGACCGCCTGGCAGAAGGAGGCCGCCACCACCGATGCGGTGCGCTGCGGTGGGATGGGATGTGGGTGGTGTGGTGTGGGGTGGGGTGGGGTGGGGCGGGGTGTGCTTCGTGGCAGAATGGGGTGTGTGGGGTGTCTTGGGTGGGTGCTTACATGATGGGATGGGATGCCATGACGAGGCTGCCACCACAGATGCGGTGGGATGGGGTGTGGGTAGTGTGGTCTGGGGTGGGGTGTGGTGTGGTGTGGCGTGGCGTGGTGTGGTGTGGTGTGGTGTGTCGGTGGTGTAGAGTGGGGTGGGGTGTGGCCAGCATGTACTCACTGCTTCGCCACGTGGCGCCATTCTCACATGCGCATTCCTCCTTCCGGGTCTCCGTTTTCCCTCCCCCCCTTTCCCCAGACCATGTCGCTGGCAGCAGCAGCAGCAGATGACCAGGTCGTCTCCCTGCCCCTCTCTCTCTCTCCCCACCCTCTTCTCTCCCTCCCATCCCGCACCCCCCTCTTCCCCCCACTCACCTGCCCCTCCACCCTGCAGGCGATGGCACTGGCAGCAGCGGAGGCGGGGCACATCAGGGTGCGCTGCACAGTGAGGCATCCCTCTCTGTCTGCTGCCCTCCTCCCCTCCTCCGCGCCCTCATCCCCTCCCCCCCCCCCCCCCCCCCCCCCCCCCCCCCCCCGCCCCATCTCGCAGGCCATGGCGCTAGCAGCAGCGGAGGCGGGGCACATCAGGCTGCATGGCGACAAGCCCACCACGGCAGAGGCTGTGCTGGCTAGGGTGCGCCGCAAGCCACTTGCAGATGAGAGGTGCGGCACTGGGTGAGGGCGGAGGATACTGAAGAGGGGGTGGGTGGGGGGGGGGGGGGCTGGGGGTGGGGGTGGGTGAGGGTGGATGGATCATCAACCTTCACGGCGCCACTGCCACGCCCACCACAGCAGAAGCCGTGCTTTCTCGGGTGTGCCGCATGCTGCTGGTGGACGAAGAGGTGCGGTACTGTGAGATTGGGGGGAGTTGCGTGTGGTCATCAGGTAAAGGATCATTTTGTCGACTCAGAAGAGCCCGTGCGCGCCAGGGTGCCTCTCGCCTCGCTGGTGATAGAGAGATGCGGGCAGGGTGGGGTGGGGGCAAAAAAAGGAGGTAAGGTGAGGACGGAAGGGTACTCGGGTAAAAGAGAGAGGTGGGGCACTGTGAGGGCGGGAGGGTAGTGTGGAAGGTGAGGGTGGATGGACCAGCAGGTAGAATATTGATGAGTCGAGGAACTGGCAGACAAGAGGTGGGCTCTGGTGTGGGAGGCTGGAAGGATAGTTGGGGGGGAGGGAAAGGTGACGGGGGATGGGCAGTGAGGGAGAGGGGGCCATTGTGAAAGTGAAGCGGTAGGGCGGGTAGCGTAACAATTCATCCAGTTTGTTCCCATGTTGAGCCCTGCAGGCAGTTGTGCAGCTTCTGTGACTCGTGACTCGAGTGGGTGGGCGCCATGGCCTCATGACACTCCCCTGTGCACTCCCCCTCTCCCTTTGTGCGCCCACTCCACCAGACTGGCAAAGGAGGAGGAGCTGCGGCATCGCCTGGGCGGCCTGGCGTACTGCCAGGAGTGGGTGGCGGCATGGCCGCATGACACCCCTCTGTGCGCCCACCTGCCCCTTGTGCTCCCTCCCCCCGTTGTGCGCCCACCCCCACTTTGTGCGCACACCCCCACTTTGTGCGCACACCCCCACTTTGTGCGCCCACCCCCACTTTGTGCGCACACCCATGCGTTTTCCAGACTGGCAAAGGAGGAGGAGCTGCGGCAGCGACTGGGCGACCTGGCGTACTGCCAGGAGTGGGTGGCGGCATGGCCGCATGACACCCCTCTGTGCGCCCACCTGCCCCTTGTGCTCCCTCCCCCCGTTGTGCGCCCACCCCCACTTTGTGCGCACACCCCCACTTTGTGCGCACACCCCCACTTTGTGCGCACACCCCCACTTTGTGCGCCCACCCCCACTTTGTGCGCACACCCCCACTTTGTGCGCCCACCCCCACTTTGTGCGCACACCCATGCGTTTTCCAGACTGGCAAAGGAGGAGGAGCTGCGGCAGCGACTGGGCGACCTGGCGTACTGCCAGGAGTGGGTGGCGGCATGGCCTCATGACACCCCTCTGTGCGCCCACACCCACCTGTGCACTCCCCCTCTCCCTCTGTGCGCCCACACCCACCTGTGCACTCCCCCTCTCCCTCTGTGCGCCCACACCCACCTGTGCACTCCCCCTCTCCCTCTGTGCGCCCACACCCACCTGTGCACTCCCCCTCTCCCTCTGTGCGCCCACACCCACCTGTGCGCCCCTCATCTGCCCTCTCCACCAGACTGGCAAAAGAGGAGGAGCTGCGGCATCGCCTGGGCGATTTGGCGTACTACCAGGAGTGGGTGGCGGCATGGCCTCATGACACGTCGCTCAAGGCGGTGCGGCGCGTGGCGAGGGAGACAGGGCGGCCCATGGAGCACCAGATCCTCGACATGCTCGCCATGCAGGTGCGGTGGGAGGGGTGGGATGTGGTGGGGTGGGGTGGGTTGGGGTGGGGTGGGGTGGGTCCATGCAGGTGACATACGGGCCGGTCTATGGAGCACCAGATACTCGTCATGCAGGTGCGGTGCTGTCATGCAGGTGCGGTGCTGTCATGCAGTGCAGTGCAGGTGACATGCTCGCCATGCAGGATGGGTGGTATGTGCAGCACATGTGCGCATGGATGGGTGGTATGTGCAGCACATGTGCGCATGGATGGGTGGTATGTGCAGCACATGTGCGCATGGATGGGTGGTATGTGCAGCACATGTGCGCATGGATGGCTCTCATCCTCTCATCTTCAACTCTTCCACGCCACTCCTCCCTTTCTCTTCCACGCCACGCCCCCCCACCAGACCCAGCGCGAGTACAACGCCATGTGTGGGAGGGACGTGCGCCTGCAGAAGGACCCGCTCGCCATCCGCATGGACAAGAAGCAGTGCAAGCGCGGTGAGCAGCGGTGCAGTGCGGTGAGGGGAGGTGTGTGAACTGAGGGGCAGAGGTGAGCAGAAGGGTGAGATGCAGAAGGGTCCACTGGCTATCCGAATGGACAAGAAGCAGTGCAAGCACGGTGAGCAGCGGTGCAGCGCGGTGAGGTGCTGTGGAGTGCGGTGAGGGGCAGTTCAAGTAAGGTGAGTAGCAGAAGGGCAGTGGAAACCCCCTCCTCTCTCCCCACCTCTCTCACCTCCTCTCTCGCCTCCTCTCGCCCTTCCTCTCTCCTCTCCCCTCACCCCTCTCCCCTCTCCCCTTCCCTCCTCCTGTCCCCTCTTCCCCTCTTCCTTCCACTCGCTCTCCATGGTTGCCCCAATTGCACTCTCCATGGTTGCCCCAATTGCACTCTCCGTGCAGTGTGGGGTGGTGTACCGTGCAGTGTGGGGCGGTGACCCACTGTACCCTACAGACCAGCCTCCTACCGGATCTGCCTGCTGTGCTCTTCTCACTCACCGCCCCGCCCCACCTCCGTGCATGCAGTGTGGGGCGGCTTTCTAGTGTACCCAACAGTGAACTACGAGCAGCCACACCTTGTGGTGGATTACCCCACACGCCCGCATCGTCTGCCTCGTCTGCCCGCCCATGCTCGCTGTGCTCCCCTCCCTTACACACCATGCAGTGTGGGGCGGCGACCCAGTCTACCCAACAGTGAACTACGAGCAGGCGCCCGACCACGTGGTGGACTACCGCGGACCCAATTTCCACGAGCCCAGCGAGGACCCTTTCAATGTCGTGCGCCAGGTCAGCAGGAGATGGTCGTAGGGATGGGGGTGCAGGGATGGTCGTAGGGATGGGGGTGCAGGGATGGTCGTAGGGATGGGGGTGCAGGGATGGTCGTAGGGATGGGGGTGCAGGGATGGTCGTAGGGATGGGGGTGCAGGGATGGTCGTAGGGATGGGGGTGCAGGGATGGTCGTAGGGATGGGGGTGCAGGGAAGCGTGAGCCCAGCGAAGACCCCTTCAACGTCGTGCGCCAGGTGCGCTGCATGGTTGGCGGGGGGTAGAGGTAGGGAAGATGAGCAGGCGTGTGTGCAGGTGAGCCCAGCGAAGACCCCTTCAACGTCGTTCGCCAGGTCAGCAGCACGGCAGGGCTGGAGATGCAGGTGGGGGGGACGGGCAGGTGAGCCCAGCGAGGACCCCTTCAACGTCGTGCGCCAGGTGCACTGCTGTTGGGGCAGCACGTAGTTATGATGAGCACGTGGGAGTGCAGGTGGGAGTGCAGGTGGGAGTGCAGGTGGGCTCAGCCAGGACCGCTTCAACGTCATGCAGCACGTCAGCTGCACGGCTGGGGATGGAAACAGGAAAGGCAGCTTGGGGTACGGGCACGCTACGGTGTGGTGTGGTGGGACACTGTGTGCTCTGGGGGGGCTGCCCTTGTTCTTTCTTTCCCGCCACCGCCGCGTTGAACTGCCCTCCTCTCCCCCGTCACCAGGTCCCCTCTCTCCCCCATCCCTGTCCCTGTCTCTGTCTCCTCCGCCCCCCTGTCCCTCTCTCTTCTATGTCCCTCTCTCTTCTATGTCACTCCCTGCCCTGCCACATGTCCTCACCACAGCAAGGCAGGGGGTTGGTGACGCAGCAAGGCAGGGGGGTGGTGACGCAGCAAGGCAGGGGGGTGGTGACGCAGCAAGGCAGGGGGGTGGTGACGCAGCAAGGCAGGGGGGTGGTGACGCAGCAGTACAGGGAGGCCCTCATGCCATTCCAATCATCCAATGCTCCGTGGAAGGCCGTCCCTCCCTGTTGGCTGGGGAGCACATGTGGTCCGTGTTACCTCCCTTCCCCCTCTTCCCTCCCACTGTCTCGCCCATGGCAGCAAGGCAGGGTGGTGACCCGGGTGGGGAGCAGGCGGGGGTCGTCATGGCACTTAAAAGCGTCCCCCGACTTGAACCCCCCATTTCAATGTTCTCCCCTCTCCGCCTCTCTCTCTGCCCCACCCCGCGACAGCAAGGCAGGGTGGTGACGCAGGAGCAGATGGAGGCCATCATGGCACTTCAATGATTCCCCCTCTCCCCTGTCCCTCCCACTGTCTCCCTCGCTCCTCTCTCTTCCAACCCACCCCCCCCACAGCAAGGCAGGGTGGTGACGCAGGAGCAGATGGAGGCCATCATGGCACGCGAGCAGGAGGAGGAGGAGGCGGTGAGTGCTGTTTCCGTGCTGCCTCTGAGCTTTGAGTGGAACGGGGGGTGTGGGAGGAAGAGGGTGTGGTGTGCTGTTCCTGCCCAAATGTGTTTTTGCATATGCTATGCACCCGCGCGTCTGCCTGCTTGCATTGCACGCTTGTGTCTGTCGTCTTTCCACCAACACGCTTGTGTCTGTCGTCTTTCCACCAACCCGCTTGTGTCTGTCGTCTTTCCACCAACCCAGCAACCCCTCACTCCTCTGTTGACTCTACCTCCCCACCCCCCTGACCTCCCCATCCCCCTGACCTCCCCACCCCCCTGACCTCCCCCTTCTCCGTTTTTTGTATTCTGTATTTTGTTGTTGTTGTGTCCTTGTCCTTGTCCTTGTCCTTGTCCTTGTCCTTGTCCTTGTCCTTGTCCTTGTCCTTGTCCCTGTCCCTGTCCCTGTCCCTGTCCTTGTCCTTGTCCTTGTCCTTGTCCTTGTCCTTGTCCTTGTCCTTGTCCTTGTCCTTGTCCTTGTCCTTGTCCTTGTCCCTGTCCCTGTCCCTGTCCTTGTCCTTGTCCTTGTCCTTGTCCTTGTCCTTGTCCTTGTCCTTGTCCTTGTCCTTGTCCTTGTCCTTGTCCTTGTCCCTGTCCTTGTCCTTGTCCTTGTCCATGTCCTTGTCCTTGTCCTTGTCCTTGTCCTTGTCCTTGTCCTTGTCCTTGTCCTTGTCCTTGTCCCTGTCCCTGTCCCTGTCCCGGTCCCTGTCCTTGTCCTTGTCCTTGTCCTTGTCCTTGTCCTTGTCCTTGTCCTTGTCCTTGTCCTTGTCCTTGTCCTTGTCCTTGTCCCTGTCCCTGTCCCTGTCCTTGTCCTTGTCCTTGTCCTTGTCCCTGTCCTTGTCCTTGTCCTTGTCCTTGTCCTTGTCCTTGTCCTTGTCCTTGTCCTTGTCCTTGTCCCTGTCCTTGTCCCTGTCCTTGTCCTTGTCCTTCTCCTTGTCCTTGTCCTTGTCCTTGTCCTTGTCCTTGTCCCTGTCCCTGTCCCTGTCCTTGTCCTTGTCCTTGTCTTGTCCCTGTCCTTGTCCTTGTCCTTGTCCTTGTCCTTGTCCTTGTCCTTGTCCTTGTCCTTGTCCTTGTCCCTGTCCCTGTCCTTGTCCTTGTCCTTGTCCTTGTCCTTGTCCTTGTCCTTGTCCTTGTCCTTGTCCTTGTCCATGTCCTTGTCCCTGTCCTTGTCCTTGTCCTTGTCCTTGTCCTTGTCCTTGTCCTTGTCCTTGTCCTTGTCCTTGTCCTTGTCCCTGTCCTGTCCTTGTCCTTGTCCTTGTCCTTGTCCTTGTCCTTGTCCTTGTCCTTGTCCTTGTCCTTGTCCTTGTCCTTGTCCTTGTCCTTGTCCCTGTCCCTGTCCCTGTCCTTGTCCTTGTCCTTGTCCCTGTCCCTGTCCTTGTCCTTGTCCTTGTCCTTGTCCTTGTCCTTGTCCTTGTCCCTGTCCCTGTCCCTGTCCTTGTCCTTGTCCTTGTCCTTGTCCTTGTCCTTGTCCTTGTCCTTGTCCCTGTCCCTGTCCTTGTTATGCACCTGGCTGGCTCACCATCAGTTCCTGCAAGAGCTGGAGGAGACTGGGGAAGACGCCGTTGACATTGGCGAGGAGGAGGATGAAGAGGAGGAGGAAGAGGAAGAGGAAGAAGAGGAGGACGAGGAGGAAGAGGACGAGGTATGCTGAAGCTGACGCTTTTACACCTCAGGCAGATGGTAGATGGGTTGCAATCAACAAAAGCATGGATCGCTGGCGAAGGGTGTGAAATGAAGCAGGAATTGGTGTGAAAGGGGTTGATTTGAGTGGTTGTCGAGGAGGGATTGGTTTGAGTGACTGAGGAGGCGTTGGTTTTGTGTTCCGCTCTTGTCCAAAACCCTCACCTGTTGCCCCAGCAGACTCCTCATCCATGCATGTGTCCCATGATCTATCTCAATTCATCGCTCTGTGTCACCGGCTTTCTTTCCACCCCTTCCTGTCTCAATCCATCCTGTCCAAACCCCTTCTCCTTCCCCCTCAGATATCGGAGGACGAGGATTCGGACGAGGGCCAGCCAGCACAGGCGTCGTCGCACGGGCATGCGGTGCGGGAGGGGCGGGGGAGGCGGCCAGCGGAGATCCTGGAGGAGGACGAGCAGACGGGCATGCAGTGGGTGGCCGTGCCCACACGCATGGAGGGCACCCCGGGGCGACTTGCTTATGAGGAGGACAGTGAGGGGATGAGCGAGGAGGATGAGAGTGGGGATGCTGCTGCTGGTGCTGGTGGTGCTTCTAGAGGCGGCATTTAAACAATTTCCGTCTACTATTTTTGCTGTTTTGTTAGATTTCTTACAAACGAATTTATAATTGTTGAGGGGACTTTCAGCGTGTCCAACATCCTGCAACGCCGTACTGATACCGTATGCTCTGAGTGGCTTGGAGCAGGGCTGACGTTTCATTTTAGGCCTCCCTGATTCCGGGGAAAATTTTCTCCCTCTATTATGGGTGCACATTTTCCAGAAAAGCAGTACCCTGATTGCTCAGGGTTGTAAAGTAGTTAACTCTGATTGTTCAGGGTCGAGAACTGAACATCAGAGAAGTAACGCACGCTTTGTTACCGGGGAAAAAAATCCCCACTCTCCATAAAGTCTGCGCACTGTGTTTCCCGCTGGCTGTACACTCCAGTGATTTGTGCAGGGCGGGTGTGATTGACCTATCTGGTTTGCGAGTGCAACGTTTCCCTGTCTTATTACCATGCCCAATCGGATCTCTTCATCTGGCACGTAGTGCTTGAATGCTGAACATTCCAGACGACACGCATCAGACACGCTGCGACTGTAGTTAGTCACCCTCAGATGCGTGAAACGTGAAGCGAGTGTACCGACCGAACGGGCGAGTCACACCTGTTCCAGTCAAATATTTTCCGCTGTCAGAGCCTATTTCGACCAATCCCAGCAAAGTATATCTGAGATTGAAGATTCGCGCGATCTCGATGGTTGGTGTATCAGAACGAAGTTTCGTCTCGATAAAGCGGGAAGGGGGGGGATTACCGTATTCTTCCGGATAAAACACCCTAGGGTATTATGAAAACCATTGGAAAAAAATTGGGGGGGGTCTCCTCAAAGGAAAATCCTATATAATACCCGGGTCTTATGATATGGTATATTTTTTATAAAACAGAAAAGATGTGAAACAAAATCAGTGGTCTGAATTCACTTCAAGATTGTTGATCAATGCCGCAAAACCGAGTACGAGGATATTGTGGGCCACTTCACCTCTTGGACCACTTGCAGTGGAAGATTCGCCAGCGTGGCGACAGCGAGATTTTGGGATTCACCAGCGTGACGACAGCGAGATTGTGGGAGGGGGGATATCTCGGCTGATTCTAAATGAAAGTACATGCGAAATTTTTTCTATGGAGTGATTTTCGCGATATCCTCCCGTAAGGAATCGGACTCGATAACAGCTATAATAGGAATTTATAAGAAAAGGGGGGTGTTATAGAGAATCACCCCAAAAAGGGGGGTATAGTACTAACGGGGTCGGGTATAACACGCACCCCGTATAAGCTACCCGGGGGTGTACAATTACGGCGGGGTGTTTTATCCGGGAGAATACGGTATCATAGTTATGTGGAATGTCAGATTATTATAGCTGATACATGTTTGTGGGCTATAGTGGGGTAGCACATATGGGGTACAGCTTTCTAGGGTTGTATTTGTACCCAACACTGGCTTAGTCATTCATCATCCTGATCATTTATTCTCACATGGTATAGAGCGAGTTCCCTGTGGGAACGTTGCCTAGGGCCCACCGAAGCGCGCCCCGAGGCGCGCATTTTTTTTAGCGACCCCTCGAGTCGCCCTTTCCCTCGTGGCCCCGCCGTCCCTCAGACGCGGCCCCGCCACCCCTTCTGATCGCGGCCCCGCCACCGGATCCCGGCCCCGCCGCCACGTCGCGGCCCCGCCGCCCGATCGCGGCCCCGCCGCCCGCTACGACGCGGCCCCGCCGCCTGCTCTGACACGGCCCCGCCGCCACCTCTTACGCAGCCCCGCCGCCACCTCTGACGCGGCCCCGCTGCCTGATCTGACGCGGCCCCGCCGCCACCTCTGACGCGGCCCCGCCGCCTGATCTGACGCGGCCCCGCCGCCGCCTCTGACGCGGCCTCGCCGCCTGATCTGACGCGGCCCCGCCGCCGCCTCTGACGCGGCCCCGCCGCCTGCTCTGACGCGGCCCCGCCGCCCACTACGACGCGGCCCAGCCGCCGACTACGCCGCCGGCCCCGCCGCCTGCTCAGCCGCGGCTCCGCCGCCCTCTCTGCCGGCTCCGCCGCTCCACCAGCCGCGGCCCCGCCGTCCCCGCCGCTGCACCTGCCGGCCCTGCTACTTCGGCCCCGCTGCCCCTGATCTCACGGCCCCGCCACCCTACCTGCAGCAGCCGAGCCGCCCACCTGCAGCAGCCGAGCAGCAGTGCAGCCGAGCCGCCCCGCACCCGAGCCGCCCGGGAGCCGAGCCGCCCTACACGCCGAGCCGCCCGGGAGCCGAGCTGCCCTGAACCAGAGCCGCCCTGTCGCCGAGCCGCCCGGGAGCCGAGCCGCCCAGCAGCCGAGTCGCTGAGTCGCCGAGCCGCCCTTCTGCAGAGTTGTCCGGCCTGCCCTGCCTGGTGAGCACAGTCCCACTGTCACTGCGTGCTCTTCCCCTACTGCTTGCACTGCTTCGCTGTCGTCGTCATGGCTACCCCTAGTGTCCTAGCTTTTGACGCTGAGGGTCGCGCCATTGACTTTGAGGTCTGGGTAGACGACCTGCAGTTGTTTTTACAGTGCGATAGGGCAGACGGCCTCTCTCTCTTTGACCTTACCTCTGGCGCCTCTCCTGCTCCTGCTGCTGATGCTGATCCCACTGTGCGCTCTCAACGGGCCACCCGCGATGCTGCTGCACGTCTTGCTGTGCGTCGCCACCTCCCTACCTCTGAGCGCGCGCACTTTAGTCAGTACAAGAGTGCTCAGACCTTGTACGACGCTGTAGTTGCGCGCTACTCCTCCCCTGCCACTGCTGCACTGAGCCGTCTCATGCTTCCCTACCTCTTTCCTGACATCTCTGCCTTTCCCACTGTCGCTGACCTCATTACGCACCTCCGCACTAGTGACACTCGCTACCGCGCCGCCCTTCCTGCTGAGTTCTGCGCTAAGAACCCCCCCCCCCCATGTACATCACTCTCTACTACGTAGTTGCACGCCTCCCTGACTCCCTTCGCGTAGTCAGGGACCACTTTCTCGCAGTCTGTCCCACCACCCTCACCGTCGACGTCCTCGAGAAGGCCCTCCTAGCAGCGGAGAAGAGCATAGTCGATGTAGGAGCTTCTCGTGGAGACCCTCGCACCCCCATCTTTGAGGGGTGCTCTCCTTCCCCCTTGCTGCCCTCTGTTGCCTCTGCTGCTGCTGCCGACCTGCTTGGTCTTGAGTCGGTCGGCGCGGCGTCTGCCCCTAGTGGGAGACGCCGCTCTGGCAAGAGCAAGGGGGGCAAGGGTGCGGGTGGAGCTGGAGGGGGCGGTGGCGGTGGCGGCGGAGGCGGCGGAGGGAGTGGGGGTGGCGGCGGGAGTGGTGGCGGGGGTGGTGGTGGTGGTGGCGGCAGCTGCCGAGGCGGCGGTGGTGGTGGCAGCGGTGGTGGTGGTGGCAGCGGCGGAGGTGGAGGCGGCGGAGGAGGCAGCGGAGGAGGCGGTGGTGGTGGAGGGGGTGGAGCTGGTCGGGGTGGTACCCAGCAGCGGAGCGGCGGTGGTGGTGCGCAGCGCTCGCAGCAGCAGCAGCAGCAGCGTTCGCGGGACATCCCTCCGCCTCAGCAGCTTCGTGAGTGGTACACTCAACGTCAGAGGGGTGGGGGTACTGGTCCTTGCACCTACGTCCTTCGTTCCGGCGACCGCGCGGGTGAGCAGTGTGGGGGTGCCCACCCCACTCAGCGCTGTTTTGGCCGCCTGACGGACGCTTGGCGTCAGCAGTTCCCCGGGGCTAGTGAGATCCCTCACTGGGATGAGCTTCTTAGGGCTGGTGTAGCGATCTTTGATCTTGATTTTGATGCTATCCTTGCTGCTATGTATGCTGTGACTCTTAGTGAGGAGACTGAGGGTTACCGGTGTTTCCAGCCCGACCCGGGCATTGGTACTGCTGCGCTAGGTGCTTGTGAGGCTGCAGCTCTAGGTGCCAGTGCGTCTGCGCTCTCAGGTACTGGTGAGACTGCGCTCTCAGGTACTGCGTCGCCCTCGTCCTCCCTTACTTTCACACTTGACTCTGGGGCTTCTCGCTCCTTCTTTCGAGACCGCACCACCCTTACGCCGCTTGGCCGGCCGGTTGCCGTCTCCCTGGCTGACCCCTCTGGGGGTCCTGTCCTCTCTCACTTCTCCACTGTCCTCCCGTGTCCGGCTGCCCCTTCGGGCACCCTGTCTGGTCTGTACCTTCCCTCGTTCTCTACGAACTTGGTGAGTGGCGCAGACCTGCAGGATGTGGGGGTTCACCAGTTCACTCCTGCGAGTCAGCGGGTGACCCACTGCACGGAGGCACGCACAGGCCGACACCTGGCCACGTTCTCGCGTCGGCCGGGGTCGAGTCTCTACACCCTGACCGTTGAGTCTCCTCCTGTCCCTGCGTCTGGTCAGGTGGCTGCGTCAGGTCAGGTGCTTGCTGCTGCGTCCCGGTCAGGTCCTGAGTCTGCCCCCTGTTCTTCTCGCCTCCTGTCTCACGAGACTCTCCTTTGGCACCACCGTCTTGGTCACCCCTCCTTGCCCCGTCTTCGGAGCATGGCTTCCCGTGTCCTTGTCTCTGGTCTTCCCCAGTCTCTCCCTCCCCTTCCCTCCGGGCCAGGACCTTCCTGTGTCCCCTGTGTCGAGGGTCGCCTCCGGGCTGCTCCTCACTCCTCTCAGTTCCCCCCGACAGAGGCTCCTCTGCAGACGCTTCACATGGACGTGTGGGGCCCAGCCCCCGTCCGTGGGCAGGGTCACGAGCGCTACTTTCTGTTGGTGGTTGACGACTACTCGCGTTACACCACGGTCCTCCCCTTGCTCAGCAAGGGTGCTGTCGCTGAGGTGCTGATCGACTGGATCCGCGAGGCTCGTCTCCAGCTCAGGAAGAGCTTCGGCTCGGACTTTCCTGTTCTGCGTCTGCACTCGGACAGAGGCGGAGAGTTCTCCTCTGGCCTTCTGCGAGCCTACTGTCGTGCACGAGGCATCCGCCAGACCTTCACGCTTCCGGACTCTCCACAGCAAAATGGGATTGCTGAGCGCCGCATTGGCATGGTCATGGACGTCGCCCGTACGTCCATGA